TTCATTGAAAACCTGTAAAATTTTCTATTAATGAAAATGTTGTGAAGTGTGCAAATTAAATGGTTATTTTATGATGGTTCAATGAATTTAAATAAAATTAAAATGTGTCTTTTTGGATGTAGTAACTTAAAAAATGTTTTTATGGACTTACATTATGTAATGATTATGTAAATCTGACAGCATCCTCAATAAGTCAGATATCTTTACTTAATTCATGAGTCAGTCAAATATATATGATGACTAAGGTTTATTTTATTGATTTTTGTAAATTTACTTGTTATTTCAAAATTTACATCAAGCAAAAATGTAAAGATCAAAGTCTATGCGGCAATTCTATTTTGTTACTAAATGTAGTTAATCAAACAACTAGGTACATACATTTGTAACTGTAACGATTTTATGCATACATTGTTTTAAAATGTATACAAAAGTTACTCAAGAGTTACTCAACCAAACATTGGTTGTCATATAAGAAACTTATCATTTTTATTTATATAACAATTTTTCGATAATAGCCTACTTGTATCTATTTATAGCCTTGAGTTAATGAAGGGAGGCAACTGTGTAAAAGCTAAACTAATCTGCTATGTAGTAAGGTAAATAGATTCCTAATGTATGAATCATAAACTAGAAGTTTTATCTGGCCAAATGATCTTACACTGCTCTATATACTGTTACAGTCATATTGTGTGTATATATATATGCCTTTGATTGGATTATTCCATTAGATATTAGGTACTGATTTTTTTTATGATAATTAACATTTAATTGTAGCTGATACATTTTTGTTTGAAACTTTGAAGCTAGAGTTAAATCTGGTGTTTAAGTTTATGTGTAAAGTGTTAAAATATGTACAGAGATAAAGTAAAGTCTGTTTCTAGTTCAACTTTAACATACAGCTTATTAGTCATCTAATTGCAATGAATGTAAAATTTTCCGTGGCTAATGAGATCTGGTGTGAAAATTTATTGATAGTTATTTTACAAAAATATAAGTTATAAGTGTTATGTAATAATATGGTATGTTGAAAATGAAAATGGTGGCAATATGTCTTATTTGTTATGTCTTGGACTAATTTATGTCATATTTAATAAAGTATAAATGGCAGAATTAATTATACAAACAATATGGTATTTTATGTAAAACTATGTTAAGGAAGTACTGGTGTTAAGTCTGGTAACTATTCAAGAATTATACTGTTTATGCTAAAAAAAATAGCTAAATAAGTTAGTAATTTTGTTTTTTTTATGTAGTTAAACTAAATTATGTTAAATTGAATAACTGTTGATTGTTTATGTTTTAGTTATTAGAACTAAAGTATTCAAAATAATGTTATAGTTAAACTAAATGAGGAAATGAGGGTCAGTATGGTGTTGATGTTTTAGTTTAACTAAATGAGTCAGTATGGTGTTTATGTTATAGTTTAACTTAATGTGTCTGTATTGTGTTAATGTTATAGTTAAACTAAATATGTATGTAATGTGTTAATGTTATAGTTAAACTAAATGAGCCAGTATTAGTGTTCATGTTTTAGTTAAACTGAATATGTATGTAATGTGTTAATGTTATAGTTAAACTAAATGAGCCAGTATTAGTGTTCATGTTTTAGTTAAACTGAATGAGTCACTTTGGTGCTCATGTTATAGTTAAACTAAATGTGTCAATGTGTTTTTTATGTTATTGTAAACTAAATCAGTCAGTGTTGGTGTTAATGTTAATATAGTTAAAATAATTGAGCCAGTATGGTGCTTATGTTATAATTAAACTAAATGTGTCTGTGTGGTGTTTATGTTATAGTTTAACTAAATGTGACTGTGTGGTGTTTATGTTATAGTTTAACTTAATGTGTCTGTGTAGTGTTTATGTTATAGTTTAACTTAAAGTGTCTGTGTGGTGTTTATGTTATAGTTTAACTTAATGTGTCTGTGTGGTGTTTATGTTATAGTTTAACTAAATGGGTCTGTGTGGTGTTTATGTTATAGTTTAACTTAATGTGTCTGTGTAGTGTTTATTAACCAGGTTTTCCGAAGGAAAAAACTGGTTATTAGATTGAGGTATGTCGGCGGGCGGGCGGGCGGGCGGATGGGCGGACGCGGGCGGGCGTAAACAATTTCTTCTGTGCGCAACTCCTCCTACATTTCTCAACGGATTTTGACCAAACTTTCACAGAAGCTTTGTCATCAAGTGCCCTGGCGCATATTGTCGGGTTTTGCGAATTAGATAATATTTGACCTAATTATGGCCCTTTGTTTTTTTTTCCTTATATAAAATATATAGTGAACAATTTCTTCTGTGCGCAACTCCTCCTACATTTCTCAACGGATTTTGACCAAACTTTCTCAGAAGCTTTGTCATCAAGTGCCCTGTCACATATTGCAAGGGTTTTGCAATTGGTATATATTTGACCTTATTATGGCCCTTTGTTTTTTTTCCTTGTATAGAATATATAGTGAACAATTTCTTCTGTACGCAACTCCTCCTACATTTCTCAACGGATTTTGACCAAACTTTCTTAAAAGCTTTGTTATCAAGTGCCTGGCACATATTGTCGGGGTTTTGTGATTGGATAATATTTGACAGAATTATGGCCCTTTGTATATTTTTTCCTTATACAGAATATATAGAGAACAATTTCTTCTGTGCTCAACTCCTTCTACATTTCTCAACGGATTTTGACCAAACTTTCTTAGAAGCTTTGTTATCAAGTGCCTGGCACATATTGTCGGGGTTTTGTGATTGGATAATATTTGACCGAATTATGGCCCTTTGTATATTTTTTCCTTATACAGAATATATAGTGAACAATTTCTACAGTGCGCAACTTCTCCTACATTTCTCAATGGATTTTGACCAAACTTTCACAGAAGCTTTGTCATCAAGTGCCCTGGCGCTCACTAAATTCCCATGTTTCTTCCAAGACATCATTCAAGTATTTTTTTAAAATTGTGAACATACTTTTCTTGATATCGCACAAAACACCACACGCCAATATTGTTGACAAAAGAAAATGACAAGAGACGCAAAAATGCAAAAATTAAGCAAAAATAAAGTACTGTTTACCTTTCTAAAATATTTGGGAAAAAAAGGCGAATAGACAACATAAAATTTCTCAATCATTTTTGTTTGAGGAATATTAAAAAAGCCATAATTCCTCCTAAAAGTTCAATTAAAAACAAATGCCCCTTCATGACAAAGCTTCTGTGAAATATTTTGCTGAAAACCTGGTTGCATCGCATTGCGATGTTCCTTGTGTTATAGTTTAACTTAATGTGTCTGTGTGTTGTTTATGTTATAGTTTAACTTAATGTGTCTGTGTGGTGTTTATGTTATAGTTTAACTAAATGTGTCTGTGTGGTGTTTATGTTATAGTTTAACTTAATGTGTCTGTGTAGTGTTTATGTTATAGTTTAACTTAATGTGTCTGTGTGGTGTTTATGTTATAGTTTAACTAAATGTGTCTGTGTGGTGTTTATGTTATAGTTTAACTAAATGTGTATGTGTGGTGTTTATGTTATAGTTTAACTAAATGGGTATGTGTGGTGTTTATGTTATAGTTTAACTAAATGTGTAATGTGTGGTGTTTATGTTATAGTTTAACTAAATGTGTATGTACGGTGTTTATGTTATAGTTTAACTTAAATGTGTCTGTGTGGTGTTTATGTTATAGTTTAACTAAATGTGTATGTACGGTGTTGATGTTATAGTTTAAACTAAGTCAGTATGGTGTCCATGTCATAGATAAAATCAATATTTCAGTATGGTGTTTAGAGTTAAAAATAAACAAGACATTACTATGTTTGTATAGTTTTTAAGTTATGATTAAATTTTATATTGAGTATTTATGTACATGTGGTTGAATTTATGCTATAAATTAACTTCATATAGCAGTCTGTTTAGACCCCTGTTGATTTTGTTTATTTTGAACTATAAAAGGTGAATAAATGTTTAAATTGAGCAAAAAAGTTTGTATGATGTTTATGTCATAGTTGCATTATATAAGGGAGTCCTGTGTTTTTCTTGCATAGGTTTATATGCTATTAGTAATACCACTTCACCTGGTTAAATAGGGGCAGGAATTTTAGTCAACTGATTCTTCCAACTCTCACCTAGTCCCTGTCTAATATAATTTGGACTTCCTCAGTGTTGGCTGTATCTCCGAAGGAAGGGGTTTCTTGGTTTGCTACAGAGAAATACTTAATACTTTGTTAATTGACTTATTTTGTTGGTATCTGTTATATATTTTTGCACAAATTTCTGCTATTCATTTTGGTTTAAGTCACCCTGGCGTAAATGATATTTTCCTACTTTGCTAATGAAGCATACATTTTTTTCACTGATTTCTTGTGCTATTAGTTATGTTGGTATTGTGCAAGTGACCTCTAACCTCATGAGGGATTTGGTGAAATGGGGTCAAGTCTCTGAACCTTAAAATAGACTTTTGTTCATACTTCATAAAGTAGTCCCGGCATTTTCATGATAATGAATTTATGATGGTGAGTGATCAAATGTTTATGATGGGCCCAAACATATTTTGCTAGGGGCAACGTAAGGGACCTTTTCAGGAATGACTTTATTTTGTCTTGTCCAATCCTGAGTGCTTTCTTTTCAATATTTATTTTTTATGATTTCTATCATATAAGATATCTAAATAATTCTTCAGCTATGTGAATGTTATCACCTTGGTAAAATAATATGTTTTGTAAACAAGTCACCATCATATGAAATGCTATCTTTGTGTGATGATTTCATGCACATGTGACTGTTAGTATCATGTATACAGCTTTAATAGTCAGCTGCTTATGTTTATAAGAATTTTGGACAGGTCCCATATCTTAAGAGCATTTGACATAATAATCAATTGCAGTCATAGGTTATCTTAGTCCTGTTTATCACAATGTGCGGATAACATTTTTTCCCAACATCAGTAATGCTATGCCAATGGCCTTGTTTATTTTATTGATAAATAAATGATGGTTTTGTATTTAAATATATATTTTCAGGTCAAGAAAATGATGGTCTATATACAGAACCATTTGTGGCGAAATTCAAGCATGTGGATAATGAGTGCAATATGATTAGATGAGGTCTTCAGTATAAGTCTCGACTATGGATGAAATCGATTCCAGGAGAACATTATGGATGTTAAGTCAAGACGAAGACCCATGGTCCGAGAAGTCCGGGAAGGTAGAATCACCATCGTCTGACCCGAGTACAAGGTTACCTGTACCTGGATCAATATCACCTCATAGTTTGGTTTGCAGCACGTATGCCGACAGTGGTTTCCCATCATTACAGTCATCGCTGACGTCATCAATCGACTCCGGACACCCTTCGTCCTTACAAACATCAGCTGTATCACTAGACAGTTCTTTCTCATGTTTTCATCGTTCATCGAGCTTCAGTCTCAGCTTTAGCGAGAAGCGTGCCGCCGAATTATCTGGCAGCAATGTCGTATCTCCCGACGAGGGCTATGATGACGTTGATTCGGGACAAGAATTGTATGCTATTAATACATTAGATCGTACGGAACACCATACATTAGATCGTACAGAACACGGCAACACTGCGTTAACTACTTGTGTATCGTGCAGTAAGCAAAGTTACTATGACACTAATGATAATGTGGAGTATATCTCAGGAATCCACAGCTACCCTAGACACAATATTCAACCTGCTGTAACCATAGGTCAGATTCATACATGGAAACCAGCTCAACTTGCGGCTTTATTGAAAACAGGATTAGAAAAGGTATAATCATGTACTCTTTACTTTGCCATGTGAAGTATGAATATCTATTGTTTTAACCCTGTGCTGCTAAATTTGTTTAACATATTTGTACTATATTTAATATGGAACTGTGTAGGTTTAGGGGGTTTCAAGATGAAAATTACAAAATTTAAACATGGTGATGTGGTTCTTACTGTTGATTTAATGTTAAATATCATGTTCTTTTAAGTGATATGTATGAATGCTAAAGTTTAACATAAAGGTTACATGCTGAATGTAAATTTAAGAAAGTTCATGTTAGTAATACTATGTTCAGTGATAATACATTTAATTATTTTAAAGATAAATATGCTCTTCATAAAAGTGCATGTGCATCTCTTTTCAAGCAATATTTTATAATATATAGAGGATATTCAAGTTTTTTCTATAAATACATTATTTATTTTCATCGAGTGGTATCTTGAATTTTTTGTTTATTATATATATATTTTTCTTTTTTGCGATAAAATTTGAAATACTTTCCCTTAAATTTTGTGTACTGGCAGAATTTAAAAGAAAGTAGTTCGGCAAGACACCAGTGAAAATACGGAAAATATGTTTCACTGCAGTAAAAAATAAATTTTTACAGTGAAAATACGGAAAATGAAAATACGCATTTTATTTCATCAATATTTCTCAATATTTCATTTATAAGTATATAATAAATAACTCTATTGTTTTTTTTCGTGTATTTTGATAATGACGTTTTGTTTTACAGTACTTACTGATAGATAGCCGTTCATTTCTGGAGTACAACGACAGTCATATTCAACAGTCAACAAATGTTTGCTGCTCTAAGCTGGTGAAACGGCGTCTTCAAAGAGATAAGGTAAAGTGTTGCTATGTATTTTCATATGTCACATGACACCTTTGTATTTAGAATATACATTACATATAAAGTTCAAGAAATACTGCAGAGTCATCCTTTGATTTACCTATAATTGGAAGCCTTAGGGGCATCTGTATCTGGATGGTTGAGGTGGTTGACTTCAAACCACTTGCCTTTCATCACTGTAGAATCGAGCCGCACAAGCGTTGTCAGATTATACATATGAGAAAGCTTAAAATTCAAGACCGCATCCGTGGTTGAGTGGTTAGAGTCGATGACTTCTAATCCAGTTACCTCTCTGGCGTGGGTTCGATCCCCGGGAGATGCTTTGGTAGTTTAGCGCGGAGGAAGGTACATTTAGTCAAGTACTGGTATAACTCTCCAGGAACGATGGTTAGGAAACTACCCGCCTATATGACTGAAATACTGTTGGAAAAAGGCGTAAAATGACACAAACAAACAAACAAACAAGACTGGACAGTTAAGAATCTAATCAAATACACAGCCGGAAAGGAGATAACAGTAAGGTCTCAAACATAGAAACAGATATGTCTATAAGTTTAAAATCACATTAAGAATCAGATCTTCATAGAGATTTTCGCCATGTCTTCACATCTAACATTTTGCGATTATATTTGCAGATTCACATTAAAGATTTCCTCATGCAGACGTGTCATATCGACATTGAGGAGTTTATGGACGTGGTTGTATACGACCAATGCACGGAGGATCGTGAACGACTGTCAGACGACAGTTTTCTCTCAGTCTTACTTGACAAACTCTCATCTACTTTTAAATCGGTTGCGCTTCTAAAAGGTAACTTTTAATATACTGTTCTGTATTTATGTACCTTCATATGCAGCACTTTGATTTCAGGATTTCTGTTATATTGTTCTGTCAATCAAAATGTAACCCATACATTGCTAGTATGTGTAACCTAGAGTAAGATATCTTTCATAAAACTTCAGTTTAGGGCTGTCATTGATGGAAAATTTGGTATCGATATATCAAAAGTCAAATATCAATGATAATTATATCAAATTTAAAGTGAGAACAGTAGAAACCGTTTGAATATGTTTTATAAACTACCATCATGGTGTTATGCATGCTTGTTTTAGACGTCTTAAAAAAAAAAAATTGTTTTTGCTTTCATTAATTTTTCTCTCTAACCTCAAAAAAATGAAATAAAGGGTTCACCTTATTTCTGTTGTAACAGAATAGAAGTATGTTTTCACATGAAAGGGAGATAATAGATTTGAAATTGTATCAATACTCTAATTTGTGTATCAATCTTAAAATGGAAGAAAGGATATTGACGATATATCAATATTGCACTATTCAATGACAGTCGTAATTCAGTTTATCAGTTTTGTGTATTGTCTTTGAGATAATGAATTGAAAATGATAAATTATCAATTTATCATTCATGATAACTTTTCCATTAGCAGTGTTAAGGGGATTTGAATATCAAAATACGAAAATTTGGAAAGTAATAGTATGAATTTTGGTCAGAAAGCATCCCTATGTGTACAGGTAGGCTTGTATGTATCATAGTAGCACTGTTATAATATCAAATGATGATATTCTAGCATTCACAGTGTTTACATAATGCTTAATTATACAACAAATTTCAATCAATCTTTCTTTGCATGTATTATAAATACCCTTTGTTTCATTGAAACACTGTTCATATTTAATTTAATTTAAAGTTATCAATTTAAATTTATTTCTATACATGTGTGTCAGACCATTTTAATAAACTATTTTTTTTTCTGTAATTGATCTGTGTAATTTTCTGTAATTAACATTTGTAATTTGTATATACATGATTGTAGTTTTGTATGTTATATTCATGGTAAAGAAAAAATATCATTATCAACTTTTATCAAATTTCGATGTTTTGCATTAATTTGTCAAAGAAGTGTTTGCTTGAGATTGTACCTCTTATCTGATAAAAATATCACAAAATTCTTTCATGGAATTCTTTTAAATTATGTTTTTCTGAGAGTTGTCAATATTGAACCTGTCAGGGAAAGTGGGTTAAAGAACAGAAAAGAGCTATTGTAGATCCCCTACATATCTCTGCTTGGAGAATGTTTGTTACTGCTTCTTTAACACTTACCCTCCTGGAACCAAAAGCTTGTAGCCCTTGCCACCAGTATAGAGTCAGGCCAGCCTGCACTTCTGTGCAGACCAGTACCCTATATTGTTGGCAGCTCCTGTTTTAAGTATTTTGATCATGAAATCCCTTAAACTTTGAATAGACTGTTCCAAATTCAAAGCTAGACAAGTCCATTATGTTAAAGGGTTAAATAGATGTTAAGTTGATAATGGTTTAAATATGATGGGTGGGGAGAGGACTCTTAAGAAGAAAACATACTGTGACACTTCCACTACCAGTTAAATAAATACCTCATAAAATTCAGCATAAATATTTCAATGATTGTTTTAACCATAGCGTGTCTTGAATATAAAGAATATTTTCTGTTTTCACGATATGATAAAATCAGCATAGATTATTCACTTGATTGTATTGGAGATTCAGTCCTCTATATGATTTTGAGCTCGTGACAGTCCATAAAAACAAGGTTCATTAATTGTTCCATTTTTTACGGGGGCAATTGCGATCTCAGTTAACAAGAAACTTGTTATTTGTCTTATTTTTCTAAATATGCTTCCGCCTAACATTGGCGTAGGAGCCATAATTGAATCTGTGATTTTTTCTGTGGGTTGTTATTACGTTTGAGTTAACAATATGATACTGGGAGAGAGAGAGGGAGATGGATGAGTCATACTGCTATATTATATGTTCTCAGTCTCATACAGCTATGTGTGTCATGTCTTTGTGTATATATAACTATCACAAATGAAGTTTGACTGCTTGCATAGTATTATAAAGTGGACTACTTATATTTTTTTAACAATCTTTAGTCAGAAAAATTCTCACCTAACATTAAAAAAAAATATGATACATTAAAAAAGAGAATATGATAATTTCATTCAGAAATAAAAAAAAAACTTAAATATAATTATTAGGTCAATTATAGCACAAACAAAATGCAACGGCTGTTGTGGGGAAGTGGTTACCATACTGGATCAGCAATCTGGGGACCTGGCTGCGGCTTGCTGATTTTTTGTGTGATCTTTCTGTGTATAATTTACCGGATATAGATATATAAAGAGGATATATATATGTATGAATAAAGCCCACAATAAGTAAATGTACGATAATTTTTCCATGCCACTTTTTGTTTTATACTTTAAAAAAACTGACCTCTTGTTTCAAATAAAGTTGTTTGATGGCATGAAATTGAATATGACCCCACCCTGATAAGCTGATTAAGTAAACCTTTATGACTAAAAAAGTATTTTTAGGCCTGATGACTTCTTATGACTTTTTCTATGTACAAACCAGGTGCATGTTAGGAAACATTGTTTTGAATTATCTGTCAGTTCCATCTATAATTCTGTAACCAATATCAACCAATTTATTTTGAAAGTTTTCTATATCAGGCGTGTTTCTCAGGATGAATACATTAACATTGTGCTCATCTCAAAGTCAGGTTCAGATGACTAAGAATCAATTACACCACACCACTTTCAAAGTTTATTATGACAACATTAACAATAATTAGAAATAAAAAGTGATAGTTTATTGCATATCGTTGACAGTGTATTGAGTAATTTTTGTTCTCATTAAATATTTAAGAAAAGTAATTAGATTATTAGTGTTCTTTATTATGCCCCCATTTCGAAGAAAAGGGGGTATATTGCTTTGCACTTGTCGGTCCGTAGACCAAATGGTTTCCGAGTGATAACTAAAGAACCCTTAGGCCTAGGAACTTCAAACTTGGTATGGTGATTGGTCATGACAAGTAGATGACCCCTATTGATTTTGGGGTCAAGGGGTCAAAGGTCAAGGTCACATTGACCTTGTAAGCAAAAACGGTTTCCGATCAATAACTAAAGAACCTTAAGGCCTAGGAACTTCAAACTTGGTATGGTGATTTGTCATGATCAGTAGATGACCCCTATTGATTTTGGGGTCAAAGGGTCAAAGGTCAAGGTCACATTGACCTTGTAAGCAAAAACGGTTTCCGATCAATAAGTAAAGAACCTTAAGGCCTAGGAACTTCAAACTTGGTATGGTGATTGGTCATGATCAGTAGATGACCCCTATTGATTTTGGGGTCAAGGGGTCAAAGGTCAAGGTCACATTGACCTCTTGGGTAAAAACGGTTTCCGATCAATAACAAAAGAACCCTTAGGCTAGGAACTTCAAACTTGGTATGGTGATTGGTTATGACCAGCAGATGACCCCTATTGATTTTGGGGTCAAGGGGTCAAAGGTCAAGGTCACATTGACCTTGTAGGTAAAAACGGTTTCCGATCAATAACGAAAGAACCCTTAGGCCTAGGGACTTCAAACTTGATATGGTGATTGGTCATGATCAGTAGATGACCCCTATTGATTTTGGGGTTAAGGGGTCAAAGGTCAAGGTCACATTGACCTTGTAGGTAAAAATGGTTTCCGATCAATAACGAAAGAACCCTTAGGCCTAGGGACTTCAAACTTGGTATGGTGATTGGTCATGATCAGTAGATGACCCCTATTGATTTTGGGTCAAGGGGTCAAAGGTCAAGGTCACATTGACCTCTTAGGTAAAAACAGTTTCCGATCAATAACGAAAGAACCCTTAGGCCTAGGAACTTCAAAACTTGGTATGGTGATTGGTCATGATTAGTAGATTGACCCCTATTGATTTTGGGGTCAAGGGGTCAAAGGTCAAGGTCACATTGACCTCTTAGGTAAAAGCAGTTTCCGATCAATAACTAAAGAACCCTTAGGCCTAGGAACTTCAAACTTGGTATGGTGATTGGTCATGACCAGCAGATGACCCCTACTGATTTTGGGGTTAAGGGGTCAAAGGGCAAGGTCACATCGACCTTGTAGGTAAAAATGCTTTCCGATCAATAACTTAAGAACCCTTAGGCCTAGGAACTTCAAACTTGGTATGGTGATTGGTCATGACCAGCAGATGACCTATTGTTTTTAGGGTCAAGGGGTCAAAGGTCATGTAACATTGACCTTGTAGGTAAAAAACGGTTTCCGATCAATTAACTAAAAACGCTTAGGCCTAGGAACTTCAAACTTTGTATGATGATTGGTGGTGACCAGCAGATGACCCCTATTGAGTTTGGGTCAAGGGTCAAAGGTCAAGGTCACATCGACCTTGTAAGTAAAAACGGTTTCTGATCAATAACTTAAGAACGCTTAGGCCTAGGAACTTCAAACTTGGCATGGTGATTTTTCATGACCAGCAGATTACCCCTTTCGATTTTGGGATCAAGGGGTCAAAGGTCAAGGTCACATTGACCTTGTAAGTAAAAACGGTTTCTGATCAATAACTAAAGAACGCTTCGGCCTAGGAACTTCAAACTTGGCATAGTGATTGGTCATGATCAGCAGATGACCCCTATTGATTTTTGGGTCAAAGGTGAAGGTCACATTGACCTTGTATGTTAAAACGGTTTCGGATCAATAATAAAAGAACCCTTAGGCCTAGGAACTTCAAACTTGGCATGGTGATGAGTCATGACCAGCAAATGACCCCTATTGATTTTGGGGTCAAGGGGTCAAAGGTCAAGGTCACATTGACCTTGTAAGTAAAAACGGTTTCTGATCAATTAACTAAAAATGCTTAGGCCTAGGAACTTCAAACTTTGTATGATGATTGGTCTTGACCAGCAGATGACCCCTATTGAGTTTTGGGTCAAGGGGTCAAAGGTCAAGGTCATGACCAGTAGATACTTGA